CGGTGCGTTTGGCCACCTGTCGTGGACGCACAATTAAAACGGATAGCACGGCCTGAAAGCACAGTTATTTCCGGTCAGAATGGCGGAATCGGATTTTTGAAATTCGCGGTGGGTCCCGCTTTCGTGAACTTGGCGGGACCCATGTAAACACGTTGTTTTCGCCCATAAAGAGGCGAGCACAGTTTTTGCGGCCTAGACGGTTGTAACGTGTAAGAATTCGTTACCACGTGAACTATAGCTTAATCGGTGGCTAGCTCAATGCGAGGCCGGAGAGGGGGTGGGTTTTAACATGAAATTTATAAAGGGCGCCAAGGGCCGAAGCCCTGATCATGAACGAAATCCGCTGTTACAGCTAATATCACAGTTTATTCAACTTCACTTGGGAAAAAGAGCGCAAAGGCGCAAAGGCACAAAACACGATCATCGTCACTCCAGAGAACAAGGTTATGAGGCCCGCGGCCAAAACAGTTACTGACGTACATAGAGTACACGAAATCCGGACTTGCCGACACACACACAATAACATGTCACACAACCTTTCTCACGAACATGACGGTACACCGTAGCAAACATGAAGCGAACTTGAAGTAGAAGTCTCAACTTGAGTACGATACATTTGAGGATCCAAACTGTACAACGCCACAGCGTAAAAACCCAAAGGAAGGTATGTAGGCCCTAAACGGAATAAAGAATAAGTTAGAACAAGGCTCGACTATAACTCAAATGGCAACCTGGCACAAAGGGCCGAGGAGCTTACCGGGGAGGAGCATGGTGTTGGGTGGAGCCAGGTCGGAACGCCCGGGCCGGTGGTCTTGCTAGCTCTGACACACCGGCGCCGGCCGGCCGACCAGCTGGACCCAGGAGGGGAAGGGGGAAGGGAAAGGGTGAACAGCAGACGACCCTGACGCACAGGCAACGCCATCCATCGGCAATCCGAGGCAAAGCGTACAATGGGTTGCCTATGCGCCAGGCGCCAGTGCCGAAACGGGAAACCAAGTGACGCGAACCGTCACAACCCCCCCTACCTTTAAAGAGAGATGCCCTCATTTCACCAAATGATAGCTCAAATGCAGAAGGCAGAGCGCAAAAAGTAAAGAAAAGAAAGAGCCTTGTATCAAAATTGCAAAATTAAAACGTCAAGTTCACTTCATACTAAACTCACACTAACACAAAAGAAAGTAGAATAGTGCCAAGATGTTACAACATACACAAGTTCAAATAAATTTTAAAGTTTGACTACTCGAATGCAAGGCATACTAACATCACAAGAAAACAATTTAACAAGAGTGATACACAAATACAACTCAGAGTATGACACGAATCAACATAAACATACTAAGCCTTGAGAGGGATTATTTGCTACACTGCAGCACAGTGGAAGGCTAATCAAACCTACAGTGGGGGTATTAACTTCAAATTGGCTACAGACTCACTCAACCGAGTGTCTTTAACTTCCATTCAAACTTCAGAACAACAAAATCTTCGTACACCAAAAGACAGTTCATGACAGTTTCAATCGGAAAGTCTTCAACATTAATTCAAACCTCTGAACAACAAAATCCTCAAAAAGAAAGTTCACGAGAGCTTCAATTAACAAAATACCCGTCGGTATTACCAGATCGTACAGATCACACAGCCACGATACACAAGTGATGTAGCGGAGAGGATTTACAAACATTATACTTAAAACCAAGTTGGCCTTACTTGGAATTAAAATTTAAACCTAACCTGCCCTACATATAACTCAAAACAGTTAATCACCCGCCCAAATGCAATCACCTCTTGAAAATTAAATGGCAGCAGAAAATACCAAGCACCAAAAACTTGCCTTACAGTAGTCGACTAAACTTTAGTGCTCCAAGTTACGCTACCCAAGCGGCAAAATAATTTAAATAGTTATACCCACGTACTAAGGTACATCAAATAGAAATTACTTTAGTACCAAGATGACTCAATAGCAACACAAAAGGAAGCAACAACAATAACAGTATACTTCAAATTCAACTCACTCCAAAAGAAACAAGATGTAACAATGCCAATGCATAACCAACGGGGTTCACAGTTAAACAACACTTAACACAGGACTATCACAGAACACTAGGGGAGGGTACCAAGCAACCCTAAAAGCTCTAAACAGCACAAAGCCCCACGACCCTGGGATTAAGAGTCCCATGCTCTACCGAGGAGCTTACCGGGGAGGAGCATGGTGTTGGGTGGAGCCAGGTCTTTCAACCCTGCTTACATGAATCCTCTCGTATTCTGTAATGATAAGTTTCCTCACGACGTGACTATAGTCATATCAATTGGTGGGACACTACCTACAGGACCTGATAATGCGCTGAAGTGGGAGAAAGGAGTAGCATGGGCATATAAACCGGTGCCTACCCTGTATCTGCGTTATTTTGACGATGATTTCTCCTCAGTGATTCGTAGGGCAATCCGTAGTACTGATCTTTTGATGTATTATTTGAACTGTGAATACAATTTCGGTAAAGTCCATAACTCTGCTTCATTACTGCCTGATATAATTGATGCCTTTGCACAGGTCATGGACACGTCCACTAATCGCATGGTTGTCTGCCTTGGAAAATATCCTTTGCCGGAGGTCAGAGTGCCTCTAGCTAGGCAGGGACTCGCGGTTGAGGATGCCGATGCAGAGGCGTATCGCTCGCTGCGCCGGATGACAGGCATGGCTAACAACAAGGCTACGGCAGTGCGCGACAAATATTGCGTCCAAAGGCCAGCTTACGACGGTAGTCCGCTGTCCTACGAGCTGGGGTCTACCTACGAAATTGGAGAATATTGGAGAGCTCAACCAGAGATATTGGAAGTGGTACATTTGCCCTTATTTGAGGCGTATTGTCGCCCTGTGCTGACGACGGATCAAAAGCAGCACTTGCTTTCTAACAGCAAGAAGTTGGCAGTCCTGTCTCTCGAGGACAACAAGATAAGACACGGGCATTTTGTGGAGGTGCAGGACTACGAGTCATGTCATACATCTGACGGTGTCATGTCCTTTAAGGACGCTAAAGGGGCGTACACTAGAGGTGATGTGTCTGATCTGATCTTGTTGTCCAATGATTTCTTGATGCAAAACTGTGTACGTCTATCGGCTGTAATGGATGTTCCAATGAAGTTGAGTATTATCAGAGGGGTGCCTGGTTGTGGTAAGACGCACGTCATCATGCAGATATCGAGACAAAATACTCAAACCGTGCGACTTGACGCTATACTCACTCCCACCAAGGAAGCTGCTCCAAATATACGCGAGCGAATAGCCAAAAAGTTTGGGTATGATCCGGAGTTGGGTATGTTGAAGGAGGACTGTCGTACACTCGATAGTTTTTTGATTAATAACTCAAACAAATATGACAGAGTCATCATTGATGAGGGTTATTTGTGCCACGTAGGGCAAATCTATGGTTGCGCACTGTCCGCAGGCGCGAGAGAGATCGTTCTCGTGGGAGATTCGGCGCAGATAAACTTCATCAACAGGACACTACAGTTACCTGTGGCGTTCTCCTCGCCCGATCCCGCCGCTAGAGTAGTGCGTGTCTTGCAGCAATCACATCGTACAACATTATCTGCCGCTAGTCTATGGTGCGATAAGTATGGTTGTTTCACGTCATCTAATCCCGTGGTCGGAGACATGCGGACGCTAAAGGCTTTCTCATATGATGAAGTGGTGTGTAGTCCGGGTACGGTGTACCTGACGTGGAAAAAGAGTGAACGTGACCAGTTGGAGGTGTCCTTGCGGCGAAGGTGGAGCATCAAGGATGACATCGTCGTGCGCACCATAAACCAGTATCAGGGTAGGGAGAATAAGCACATCATCCTGGTACGGGGTCCCTCTAAAAAGGAGGAACCGCTTTACGAAGAAGACTCGTTTCTGTTGGTCGGTACCACAAGACACTCTACTTCCTTGACATACTATACACCCCATGATGATAGACTCATGAGACTTATCGCTGAACTACCAACCGACGAGGAGCTGTTTTCTAAACACTATCGTCCGGTTGAGTGGAAGCCTGCTGTTACCAAGCCCGTGCGGGCTGTTTTTACCGGTGACAATCTTTTGGGAAGAGGACAGTCTTTGATAGATCGTTGTATCGTTGAGACGTCGCTGTTTGTGGAGTCTGAAAAGGTTTGTCATGAGGGTTGTGAATCAGCTTGGACTATTATAGGCAAGTGGGGTTATGATAATATCAGGACATGGTTGTTAGAGCCTGCAAAGATCCTTGATTGTTGGACTGACCGTGTGGGACCGTCTTGGACTGGTGGTGAGGGGTTTGATTTGGGAATTAGAAAAGATTTCTATAATACCGCTTTCCCATCTCATGCGCAGCATGATACTCAGCATGACGTGTACATGGTGAACGAATTCGCGAATTTCCGTGCTGATCTTGAAAATACATCCTTGCCTTATAATTCCTTCTTCAACCTCAAGAGACCTTACTATGACTACCTGAGACCAAATTTGCGTACACAGATGCCAATGCGACGACCAATGTCCACGGTAGAAACCCTTGCCGCAGCAGCAAAGCGAAATTTGAACGTACCTACTTGCGCGGGAACGGTGGACGCAGTGGCCTTGGGCGAACGCCTCTACCTTGGTCTGTGGAGATACATCGCCCCAAGGCATCTTAAGCGAGGGGGGAACGACTAAGGTAATCCGGCTGACAGCCGTTCGGTAATCCGGCAGGGGTAATCCGAGTAAATTCTAAAAAAAATCCGGGGTAATCCGGGGAAATTTTGGGATAATCTGGAAAAAATTGGTGTAATCCGGGGTAATCCGGGGTAATCCTAGAGAAAAGGCAACATAATCCTGAGCATATTCCGTAGGTAATCTGGGTAATCTGTAATCCGGCTGACACAAAATTTAACAGTCGTTTCCCCCTCGATCTTAAGACTTGCAAGTTCATCAGGACCTCGGAGTTTTCACTGTGTCCTAATGTCGATAAGCTCATGGAGTGGGTGATGGTACAACCGGCAGGTACTCTTGCTAAGGCAGCCACCGGAGATGACTTGTTCCAGGCATGCGTTTGGTCGTATGAGTTCATGGTGAAGAACAGTTTAAAGCCTGACCTCACTGATGAGTGTCCCTACACCTACAAGTCTCCACAAACGATAGTGTTTTCCACTAAGGATTTCAACGCTATCTTTAATCCCATATGGAATGAGATAATTAGGGTGTACAAACTACTTCTTGATCACAAGTATTTAATTGGCTGAGCGA